ATGTATATATATATATATATATCATACAGCTGCAGAAACATTAATTGTGTGGCAGAAGAATTTGCAACCCTCGATTTATTCTCCAATGTTTCTGCTTTCAGAATGTTGTATGTATATGCTTACTTTCCCCTGTTAATCCTAAAAGTAACACTTTGTCCACGGGTGAGGTGACAACAGTCACTCACTTCACATATGGAGTAGAGTTGCAACCCTAGGCTTTTCTCCTGATTTGGACTACAAACACTGTTTCGTCTCATTTAAAATTTAATATTTACTATATAACATTTTGGTCCTTGGGTTTAGATCTACAGTAATACCTTGGCTTAAAAGTAACTTGGCTTGCGAGTGTTCCACAAGACACTCAAAGATTTCTGAAAAACTCTGCCTTGATATACGAGCGATGTCTTGCAACACGAGCAAAATTCTGTAGAAAAGCACCACCGGAATAAGGCTGTAGCAGTGCGAGCGATTAATCCGTTTGACAAGGCAATGTCACACTTCCGCAAAATCCTCAAACGGAGGCAAAAGCAAGTGTCATTGGATAGATTCCTTGTTAAGGTTTCACAAAATGAAAGATTCCATTGAGCCAAGAGATAGCAGTGATAGTGAAAGTCGTCCTACACAATCCTCCTCTCTTGTCTCATGCACACCAGCCACGAACCTACCTGTAATTGCTTTATATTTTGTATTATGTTATAGTACTGTATTGTAATCATTTTTATATCAATATTTTGGGGTTTTGGAACGAATCATCTGAGTTTCCATTATTTCCTATGGGGAAATTCGCTTTGATATACAAGCGCTCTGGATTACAAGCATGCTTCCGGAATTATGTTCGTAAACCAAGGTATTACTGTAGTTTTAACAGGCTCCTTTAAACAACTATGGCGCATACCAATAACCAAATTCTTAGATTTCCTGCATATAAATTTAAAACTACTGATCTAGAAGTACTTACTTTTTGCTACGTTCTTCATGTCCATTGGCACTGTTCAGTTTGTTCTCGTCCTAAGCAGGGTTGATAGAAGAACATCATGAGGGCGAAGAGGAAATATTTCAAGTGGGTAAAGGGGTAAAGGGAATGGGAATGAGAGAATAAAAAATATTTAATGACTAGGTAACTAATACTGTGTGTGGAAGGCTACAAAAAAGAAAATATACATGGGAAATTACTTTGAAGCAATCCACCATGATGTAAAAAAAAGAAAAAAAAAAAGTGGATTATATAGACTAAAAATTAACTAGTGAAACTTGTTTTAGTAGTCTGTACAAAATTCATGTGATTGAGCATCCTGTGACTGTAAAATGCGGTAGTTTTGTCTGCATGTGGAAGACAGTATTGGTTTAAGCAATATGGTTGGGTGCTGTGGTCCTTGCGATGAGTACCAAGGCTATCGTTTTTGCCTAAGCCCCAAGTGGCCACGCTAGCAGCAACCACTATCCATTTCCTGTGATCGGTGCCATTCCTGAGATCTTCGCCCATTTTCGATGGAGGGTTGGGACTGTAAGAGCTTGATGCCACCTCTGTCACACATCTCGCCCTGAAGCAAACAGGGATTCACACTGCTTTAGTAACGTCGACTCCCAAGAAATATCAGCAAATATGCACCTGTCCAACCTACACATTGCCCTACAGCCATACCTGTTAGCATGGAGACATCCCTGACTAAAGGCTTTTAAAGCCAAACATTAAGTTCGGGGGATACTTTAAAATAACAATACAAAAAATACTGGCTTGTCTAGTCAAATATAGTGGTAAACAAACCACACTAGGGATTCAAACAACGCTAGTGTTTAAAAAAAACACTATTTACAATGAGAGCAAAATTAAACTGGGGCTTTTCAGTGCTTTAACATGCAAAACAGTTAAAAACGCCCAGTAAAGATAATGGGTACATTTGCATTTCCAAAACAGGAAATTTGCACTAATATACAGTTATACTAAATGCTAAAAGTTTGAATCCCGTTTTTACAAAATCAAAGAACTTGGCTGAACTTTAGGCTCAGGACAGCATAACAGCCATATCTAATTATGACATAAAAATAAAAGACATCAATGAAATAAGTGGGAGATCCAAGAATCTGGTCACATTTTGTTTTATTCTTTTCTTTACTCACAGGCTGAATGCTTCCCGTTCTCAAAACTTTTCACCAGTTTTCTTAAAATAAAATAAAAAAAAGTGATAAAATCTTTAAAAAAAAAAACTGCAGAGTTAATTCTGCTTGAACTGTCTGCTCTTGGCTGGTGAAAGTGGATATTCTTGGAACCCCATTTTTTCCCATAAACCACTGCATTCACCTTGTTGCTATGCCAAACTGAGGCTCGGCAGTTCATAGGCAAGTCTTTTTACCTAGGGGACCACGGTACAGCGATACGTCACTCAATTACTACCTTATGATTGACAGTTCACACTGGAATCAAAGGTGAATTCATGGGAGTAGAGGTGATATATCGTTAGGCAAGTCTACAAAAAGAGATAGATGGGCATTTATTTATCACGCTGAAGTCAAACTACTGCACATAATTATCACATTTACAGTAAATATTTACTTTTCAAATTATGTAACATCTCCAAGGGATAAGTCACGAGATCTCCAGGGGTGTTAGTTTTACATTTCTGCAGTAGTTTTAAAAGAACTATGTTCTGAATACAAACATATGCAGCAGATCATTCTCACCTTCCTGTAAGGAGCTTCCAGCATAGCTTCTATATCAATGTCGTCGGCCATTTTGATTGCTCTGAAAAGAAACAGAATATTTATCTACAAACCCAATATTAAATTATAAAAAGGCATCTAAAAAAGGACAAAAATATTTGAAGGGGCCAACTGCTGCTTTGAATTCATGCAAATAGTCCGATACATTCCTCAGATCCCCTCCTTCACCAGCAATGCTACAACTACAACCAGATCTGGTCTGGAAAATGGTGTGAACCTGCCCTCAAACAGTCAAGGTGCACATGCTTTGACGGTACATTTTTTTGTTTCCAAGTATATTTCCACATTTGCAACCAAAATGGGATAACACAAACTTTATATAAGTTCTGTAACTGCTCAGAGTAACCTGGAATCTGCACAAAGGCCTTCACCAAAGCGAAATCTAAAAAGGTAAGAAATATGTTTACACATTTTTTGTATGCTGTGTGAATGGGAAAACAAACCGGGGGGAATATCAAAACTGGAGGACAAAATCTGGAGCAGCTGTGCATGGCAACCAATCAGCTTCTCTCCAGTTTGTTCACAAGAT